GCATGTATGCATGTATGTGTATATGCATATGTATATGTATGTGTATGTGCATGTGCACGTGCATGTGTATGTATATGCATACGTGCATGTATGCATATATATATATATGTACATACACATGTACATGTGTATACATATTATATATGTACATACGTGCGTGTGTGTGTGTAGCTATACGTGTGCACCTGTACACATGCATGGCTTTGTACATCTGTACCCGTGTGTATGCAACATTCATCTGTAACTCGCTGCCCCAGTCTCGTAAATTTAGTCTGCCTGCGTTCATACCGATACAACACAGACAAACTGACAGTCCGATAGATAGATGGATCGACACAGATTGGCCCGTCACTGCAAATCTCACCGCCGAAGCACACCGGTGAAAACGTCTCTCAGCACAGAACGCAGTGTCTGCCCGCTCTGGATATTTCACGACCAGGGCAGCAGCGACATAGTTCCTCTGGCAGTGCTAGATTCAGCCACTAGTTATGTCAAGAGGCTTTTTGAATGCACATCGCAATATGCAGTAGGAAGTGAAGACTTAAAGACCTTCTCACTGGCATGTTCATGTCCTGTTGACTCTCCAACGCTACCTTAGGCAGACCCAGCCTTCAACCTGAGGCTGAGCACCCGGCATGCCCTGCGTGTAGCCGATATCTGGATCGTGTGCCGCAAAGTCCTGGCCCGAGCCGCGGACTGGCCAAGAGCTCCACTGGGGAGGGGGGGGGGATCAAAGGTTCCTAAAGGGGTCACCATGACAGTGTGACTGCCGGCGTGGTTCCAAAGCCTTAATCCTGGAGAACAAAACCCCAAGTCCAACACCGCGAAGACTTTGGACAATGCCGCGTCGACCAAACCGAAGGGTTTCAACGCTCGGGGTGGCCTTTCGGCTCACGGACCCCGCCTCGGCAAAGTTTCCTACCGGACACCGCCTTGGAAAGCATCACCCTGACTGAGCCTAAGCCTGAGCCCCGAAGTCTCGAGGATCACGGCCTTGAGGATGCTGAAGATTTGCGGCTTCAGAGGTGCCAACTGGGACCGAGTTGAAGGGTGGCTCACTCAACTGGATGCAAAGTCGAGGCACAAAGTGTCGTGGAGCCAACTCACGGCCATCCACAAACAAAGCTTGAACTCCGAACCCTGCGCTCTACGTGTACAGTACAGTACAGTACCTCTGGCACCTAAAGAGCCTGGGGCTTGCTCTATCGATTGCACCACTTGAGAATCGGGCTACGAAAGCTAGAGCACAGGACTGCAACGCAGCTGACCGCAGTTTTTTCACTGAGGCCGTGCAGCTCGCACTAAGCTGGACGGCACGGCACAAGAACTCATGCAATCCATGCAGGTTTGCTTCCGATGTTGCAGATATTTTCCAGTAAGTTCGATTGTTGAAGTTTTCCTGATGGGCTTGGTCAGGAACGTAGCATGTTTAGGTGCGGAGGCTTCAATGCTTCCACGCGTTTGTCGGCTGCGGCTCTTGGCCCTGCACCACATGCGAATGTAATCTGTCCTGATGGCAACTTAGCTAGTTGCTTCAGGGTCAGACGTGACGTGGCCCGACTCGGCCATGTAGACTCGGCCATGCAAAACAAAGCGCAACTTAGCCATGTTGCTTATGTTGCTCAGCAGACCTTGTTATTGGGGGGGAACCAAAGGTGGGGGGCCCCCCCCCCTCACCTTGTTCAATGTCGCCGGGACCGGGACCTTGTGGTAGGGGGGCTTCCTTAATTGCTCTAAAGCAATCATTTTTGTGGTGGCGCGAGGGTCCCCCCCCTTTTAACTATTGAGAACTGACCAGATAAGGTCCTGCGTGCTTTTTTGACCTAGATCTCTATTACCTAAGTGAATGGTAAACGACAACTCCCGCAAGCTCCACAGAGCTAGCTTTCGTGATAAGGTTCGAGCTAGTTTGAAGGATTCGGGGGGCAGGAGCCTGGGCATGATCGGAGGACGGCATACCCAAGTACACTGCACGATTCAGAATCATGCATGCGAATGATAGCATGGTTCCTGCATGAGTACACACTTGCAGATTTGTGGATGCATGGCCAGGTCCCCGTCCATGGGTATGTCGGCAAACGTCCGGTCCAAGTCGTTTTGAATGGCCTGCGGCATACTCGAAACCCCAAACCTCGGCCATCTCTCGAAACCTCAAACCTCGGCCAGATCCGCGGCTACCATCCAGGACAGATGAAGCTGAAGCCAACAGTATCGACCCCTATAGCGGTCCAAAGCACGTCCCTGTTCCTGTCAGCATGGTGTGGTTTGGAGGTCTTACCTTCCTAAGCAATGCCTTTGCGGAAGCGTTTTACATGCAGGCTTTGAGCAGATGTGCCAGACGGCCTCATCGCTGTTGCGTTCAGCAGCGGCCATGGCCAAAACGTGTGCAGTCTGTGTTGAATAGCTTAGCCTTCGGGGCTAGATGCTGAAGCACCTAGCATGCCTCATGCATAGAAAATTGTATAGCTTGTTCAGTATCAGAGTGTGCCGACTGCTGGATTTTAATCTTGCTCGGATGAATATCCGGGCTTCTACATCAATGGAACTGAATTTAGACGAGTCGGCGCAATGAGTTGCTTGGCTTAGTTCCCCAGCTCCATTGTATAGTTGAATGTGCTGAGCATCTGTAATGTATTGTGGTTTCTGCGTCGTCTGTAACTGCGTTGCAGCTTCTGACAGGGATGCCTCGAAGGCAACCCACGTCTGCATGGCGGCGAAACTCGCAACGTGTAAAAATGTACACCAGCGCTGAATTTCGGGATGCTGTTTGTCTTGGGTGCCACGCCCAACATGAACACGTCATGCCCAGACCTTTTACCCGTATTTATGTCCGGCATAAGGCATAAATTCTGAACCTTTGTCGCAAGAGCTCCAACCCCACAAGCATGACACCCAAATCTCTGTCCTCTCAAGCGATCCCGCAGCACAACCTAGACCTGAAGTAGAAACCCTGGTCTCGAAGAGTGTTTGTCGCTCCGCTGCAGTCATCCGGCTTTGGCAAAAGACAAGGGATGCAACGCTGCTCAGGGCATCAACCATGCTAGCACGTATTATAATGACAAGTTGAGGATGACGATGATTCTCATGATGCTGACGATGACGACAGCATTTTCGCGGTTGTGTTCTCATCATCAGCACCCCCCGCGGCCAGCAACACATTGACCCATTTGAATTATTCAGTGTTCATCATCACCACATATTCATCTTTGCCTTCTTCTTCTTCTTTATTCTCACCATCATGGTCATAAGCATCGCCATCGTCACCCTCGTCATGGCCATCGTCATCCCAACCAGCATCATCGGCGCAAGCCACTAACCAACTCAATCTCGACATACACCATGAGCGCAAACCCTCTACAAACTTGTTTAAAAACGATGAGTTCGGAGGTAGGTACCATGATCCTCACAACTATTAGGCGGCAGCAGACGTGCATAAGCTAGCCGCTGTTGTTGGTGGCGGTGATGGTAATGGTGGTGCTAGCACCTGACAGCAGTAGTCGTCGTTGGAACTAGTAGTACTTGTCGTCGGATCCAGTAGTAGTGAACGTCGTCGTCGCCGTAGCAGCAGCGGTAGTAGCAACAGCAGCAGCAGTCGTGGTCGTCGTCGTCGGTAGAAGTAGACGCAGAGGTAGAGGTAGAAGTAGAAGCAGTCGTAATACTAGTAGTAGCAGTAGCAGCAGGAGAAGCAGCAGGAGCAGGAGCCGTAGTGGGGCTCTTTCGGGGATTCGAACTTGGGGTCTGAGCTTGTTGGGTCCAAGGTGTTCAGGCTGTCGCCTGCCCTGCTCACCAGCTGCTGCAACCCTGATTCTTTGCAGAAGGACTTTGCAACAGAGCGGCGCCGTCAGAAGCGCCACTGGCCTGACATCTTGGGAAGACCCTGCACTGTGCACAGTGGAAGATTCTGCACCCCGCAACCCTACCCAGAAATACCCAGAAAAGTCGGCCTCGCAAGCTGTCCGTGTCGTGGTGCGGCCAGTTTCGCACTTGTCAAGCGGCATCGTCCTGCTGTCACTGTGTGGGATCACGTGAAACAGGCTTCCACGGGAACCAAAGGCTGCCCTCTTGAACGCCCGAGCTCCAGCATTATGCGGTCCTCATGAAGGCACGCACAGAAAACTGCAAAAACACACTGATCAGGTTTTAAAGTTGACTGGTCAAACTTCTGAATTTGTTAGAATAGCTCAGGTCGGAGTCCACTGTCAGGTTGGACCTACCATTCCCGGGTTGGAGTTCGAGTTCTCTGTCTCTGCATCCTGGAGGTAGTGGAATCGGTTGGAACGTGGAATGATCAACTAGGATTGGAGTTGAACTCTAGTCGATGGTTCGGGAAGGAAAACAGTCAACTCGAATCCACAGCCAAAAGCTTTCTCCCTCAATTGCAACCCTCGAGCTGGAGCCGTGCCCAGGAAAATCGTAGCTGCGGCTGGGAGTGGTTCACGGGCTTATTTGTGCTGGTTCATGATTTTGCCATGTGCGGCTTGCTGCTGCTTTCCAGGTTTTGTCGAAAAGTGGGCACTGAACCATGCTAAGCTTCTGATGTTGGATATTTGTGTGGGCATCGATACAGACTCACTTGTGTGTGTGTGTGTATACATATATATATATATATACATACATACATACATACATACATACATACATACATACTTGCACAAACATATACAGTGTTCCTGCAGTTCCTCGACGAGCTTCAACCCCGCTGTGTCAAGGGGCGAATGTTCGGCCCAAACGTCGACACATGACCTGCCGAAAGCCGAATCTGGCTGAAATGAATTGAACTCATCCGTGCGACCGGGAATTGACGGTTTGTTCTTGTGACTTGGGTCTGTGAGGCAGAGTCTTAGATAGGTGGTGTGTTTGCGGTCCAGCGGACTCGGAAGCAGCTCCGTGGCGAAGGCTCGGGTACTCCTGTTTTTTTTCGCGCACCTCTTTAAGCCAAGCCATTGCTCTCTCTCGGGCAGCAGGATGAGTGTGTGATTGTATCCGGACCCAAAGAGCATCCACACGGGCAGAGTCCCAGCCACGCTGAGCCAAGCCTGCCCAAACGTGAGTCACCTCTTCCACACGTGGAAGCAGCAGCCAACTGCAGAGCTCATGGTACACGCGCCATACGTGCAAATGTGGCATGCGTGATGCTCCTTCTTTGACTTTTTGAATCCCTGTCCAGGCCTCCGATCTCTGCAAGGGCTGATCGTCCTGGATTTCGCAGAGTTGCCTTAAAGATGATGACATACAGGCCGTCTCGCACTGCTGCAAAAGGTTCTTCGCGTAGTCGAGGGTGAGCTCCGCACCTCGCCTGCCTAATTCTGCAATTTCGGCTGCGAGTTCTGATGGGCATGCGCTCCATCCCAAAGACTCAAGCACGGTTGCTTGCAGCTCTCTCATCTCCGTGCTGCTTCTACGCAGGCGGCCATCTGAAAGAACAGTGTACACAACCGTGGAGAGCGAACCGACTCTACTCACCTCCTCCGCCGCTCGCAAAAATCGCACATGGCATCTCAGGTGTTGTGCCAAGGCCATGTACAGGTGCTGCATGTACACTTCGCACTCGCTGAGACGCTGGGAAAGAGGCTGCCAGACCGGATCCGTCGATGGGAAAATCGCCTCGGCTCAGCTCTTTATCTTGTGCGGATGCAAGGCCGTTCACAAAAGTTGCCGAATCGCAAACAACACGAAATCTTGCTGTTGAAAGAGACTCCGACAATAAGCAAAAAAATTGGACGACCTCTCCATGCACCGCGTGAGCATTGACGTATGACATTGCAGTGTCTCGCATCCAACAAACACCGAAATGCCCAAACACGAAAAAGCATGGAAAGCACCAGCAGTCTCATGCTGTTATGGGGGCCCTTCGTTTAAACGCATGCCTCCACTTTGGTGTGGTTCTAACATATCGGAAGAAGACACTGGAAAATTAGAAAAACCGACGGCCTCCATGTAACCTTCCTGTCGCAACCACCAAACCCTTTCTTGATCTGTTGAGGGACTTCTGCCGGCAAGTCCACCGTCGGCTTTGTGAGGACTCACACAAAGACAGAGCTAAAAGACAGAGTCAGAGAGAAAAAGAGAGGGAGAGAGTTTGACAGAGAGGGGCAGAGCGAGAGAGAGGGACAGAGGGGGATAAGAACATGAGAGGCCATACTTCAGTCCGGATAACCGTGAGTATGATCATAGCGACCCTTAACTGTGTAAACCTTTATGGTAAGCCTTACAGCCTTAGAGTATAGAACCCTTATACAACCCTTACTATTACATCTATTACACTATCCTTATAGATTTTTTCGCGACCCAGGCGTCGCCTTCATGCCTGTGGCCGCCTGGAAGAGCCGCCGCCAGGCACGTGCGGACCGCAGGACCGCTGCTGCCGACGCTGAGACGTCCTCCGCGGGGCGCTCGGCGACCGGAGGGCGAGAGGATAGAACAGACTTGCAGCACTCGCGAGCTATAGCTTCGAGGACACAAGCTCAAGTTGTTTGTGTTTCCTAGGAAAGCCACGTGGGGGTTCAAACTTAGGGCCGAGGTTCTTTGGGCGCCGCAGCAGGGCGCCATGTGCGTTTGGTGATTCTTCTGAGCAGCGCTTCGTCTACGGTATTTGTCGGAAGCAACCTGATAAGCATGTATTTAATTTAGGTGCTTTTTGTTGCATGCTTTCTATAATATATATATATATATATATACATATATAATGAATACAGTGTGTGTGTGTGTGTGTGTGTTTATGCTTCTCTTTCATGATGATCTAGTTGGTCATTTACTTGTTTAATCTTGTCTATACATCTCACAAAAAAACATCGTCTACATGCGCATTGCACGAAAAGAGCGAGAAAGACTGAGACAGAGACAGAGAGCCTAGTCACAGCACTCAGGGCTCGTACGTTCTATAGGTGCCAGTAACTTTATCACGCGCGCAGGCGAACCTAAACCTCCAACGGAGAAGCTCCGCAGAGCAAGCCGGACCCAGCATCAACTATCGAATCGCTACTTCGGTAGCTTCCTCATGCCTGCATGATCCTGCATGCCTTGTTTTCCACAGCCTCTTGTGGTATCGCGGCACGTCCTCGGGAAGCTGGCCGGCAGCATGCGTCCAGGCGACCCAGAGGCGGCTCCACTCGCTCTTCATGCTTTGCCTGCAGTGAGGGAGGCTTAGAACTCTGTCGCCCTCTCTATTCATTTATCTCCCTCTTGGATTCATCCCTCAGGCCACAAGGGTCCAGCTGTTTGGAGAAGGCTCTCGGTACATCAGCGAGATCGATGTCCTACAGAGTTTCTTGCTGACTGAGAGGCAAACCGGCGGTTGCCGGACCAGTTAGCCACATCACCCAAATGGCTTTCAGGACATGTGCCTTCAACCTGGAGGAAGCCTTATGCTCCGAAGATCGCATGCATGAAATCAAGGACCGACAACCTCACACTGAACGGCCACAAGATGCTAAAGCCTGAAGGGAGCAAGGCCGTGCTATGCCAGCCGGAAGCATCTTCATCTGCGGTAGGTAAGGTTTATCTTAGCCGAGGCTCAATGAGACACTTGCCTTCGGCAGGCGGTTTCGCAGATCCGGAACCAGGCGACAAGAAGGCTATCTGTAGAAAGCTGAAGGAACCGCTTCAGCTCCTGACGAGGGTGCTTTCCTCTGATACGCAAACAAATGCCATATAAAGCTCGAGCTTCCAACTATGTCTACCTCACTCAGTGTGAGCCACTGTCCTCTTCAGAGCCTTCTGTTGGCACCTCTGCGCCGGTCCCGCTGTGTGCACAAGCACAGGCATGGGTCACCAACAGCCCTAGGAACTTTACCCAGCCCCAGATCAGCAGTGGCTGGTTGAAGTCACCACCTGGAAATTGACGGAACTCGATGGTGGCCTTTTCGCTTGGCTGGGAAATCCGCATGATGTTCAGCTTGCAATAGCGTGTACCGTGGCGCTCCATGATCAGCAAGTCCCTGAAGAGCCAGTGCTCTAAGCTCTCGGTAGGCACGTCGTCTGGCTTACGGAAGCATGAAGCACCTCGGCATCGTCGCTTAAGCTCTCCAAGGCCGTCCAAGGCGTTGGGGGCTCGGCGAGGCCGTCGCCGTCGTTGCTCGGAGTCTGAGCCTCGCCCTCTTTGCCCCAAAGAGCTTGGAGGTCCTGACAAGTCGGGGGCCTCCACAGCAGCTGGCCGCTTGCCAAGGACAGCTCCACAAGAGCCAATCCGGCGGGGAGCAGCAGACTTTGCCTCTGCTCACTCTGTCCAGTCTGCGAAGCCTGCAAAGGTCGCTTGAGCCGGAAGAGACCGCCCGCTTCCAAAAGCGACACAAGCAGTTCATCCTTCTTGAGCCGCACTTGGGAACCCTCCAGGCAGGCGGCCCGAGCCTCGGGGCTTAAAGTGCGAACGAAGGCCACCGCAGCGTCGATCTTCGCAAAAAGCGCTTCGTCCGAGGCCCCAGGCCCCAACCCCTGGGCCCGCCCCAGAACCTCTCGCAGATCCCTGCAGAAGCGGTTGCGCTGACGCGTCACCGGCAGCAAAAGCTCATTGATGGTGGGCTCAAAGCGCAAATAAACCTTCATGATAGCGGCCACCTCCTCCACAGAGAAGAAGCTCGGGTAGCAGCCAAGGTGTACGTGCACACCTGTGGATTCGTTGGTTGCTGCACACAAGGGCGGTCGGCGCAGGGCATGTGCCATGTCACAGAACAGGGTGACGTCGAACTCCTGGAAGCCCATCCTCTTCGACACCAGCTCCACCGGGAAGGGATTTTGTCCCTGGGGCTGAATGGAGCCGTCCGCCGTGGTCGTCCAGAGTCGGCCCCAGTCGCAGGCCTCGGCGGAGACCAGGCCTGGACCTCCAGAGCGGCACTTCTCCGCACCGAGCTCGGCCACACGCTCCGAGAGGACCCGGGCCACCAACCGGAAGAGCCTTAGCTGCAAGATGCCGAAAGCCGCAACTCCGGACACCTCACACCTCGCGCTCAACACGAGCCCCATATTGCTGACCTGCAAGTGAAAACGCAACGAAATCCCAAGAAAGCCAGAGGGCTCCTGGGGCTCTCGGAGAGGCACCAGACGATCGGGCACCAGGGCGCCCAGGTCAGGAAGGAAGCACTCCAGTTCGAGGCCAATCGAGAGCCTGCTGAAGCCAGAAGAATCGTGCTCACTCACCCACCCACCCACCCACCCGCTCTGTTCTGTTCTGTTCTGTTCTCCGGGGTACGAGGAGAATTTCAGGCTCCCCGCGCCGATTGGCGCGCCCCTGTTTAAGGGCCTTGTGGGGGCTTGTAAAAAGACACGGATGCTCGGTGTGGGGAAAAAACATACATACCCACTCTCTCTCTCTCTCTCTCGGTCTCTCTCTCCGTCTCCTTATCTGTCTAATGCTGCAATTAGAGTGAGTCTGGCATTCGACAGCGCAGAGAGAGAGAGAAGCAAAAAAAAGAATAGATGGGATCCTAGGAAGATATTTTGTCCTCAGCTTCTCTTGTAGCTGTGAGAACAACTGCAAACCCGTGCGAAAGCAGCACAGGCCCGGAAGGACAAGAATTAGAAACAAACCCCGAGACCACGGACTGCCGGCCTCTTCTGACCCTGCTCGTGCCAACGCAGCACTGCCGCCAAAGATTCGCTGCGGAGCAGCTTGGCCAGCGCCGTCTCTTGCATGGCTATGACCGAGTGCTTCAAGCTGACGGTGTTGGTTGGCTTCTGATCAGGCTTTAGGGAGGTACACAAGACTGCTGACTTCGCTTGGCATAGGCATGAGCACGGGTGAAGCTAGGTTCCCGGATCATCCGCTCTGAATCCCCGGCCCAATCCACGCGACCGTGTGACCAAACCTGGCCGTCCTGCTGGAGCTTGGTCTCATGGGGCCCAGGAGATCAGCAAGGGGCCGGTGTCCGTGGAATACATACCTCACGGACGTTGATGTTCTTGTGTATCTATCCATGCATCTATCCTTCTGTCCGGCTCTGGCTTCTATAGACGTCTATCTACCTATAACAGGCAGACACAGGGGCGGACAGGCAAGCAGGCAAAGCATGCCGACGGGACCATCGACCCGATAAATCCCCCACAATAATGATTCGAAGCCACAACAAGTAGAGGGGCAGTCTGCTTTCTGCATACACCCGATACACCGAAAAATCCTGATCAGATCCTTTAACTCAATCCTGCCCAAGTGAAAAGGACAAGGCCCCGCATGACTGCGTCTCTGAGGGCCTCCGAAAAACTGGGGGAAGATTGAAAGATCCTTTGTTGTTGGCCCTCCACGGACAGGTTGTGGTGCTTTCACATACATGGAATCGAGGGCAGGGCCCGAAAGGTGAGGTTGATCCTGATGCCGGCCATGCCACCATGCGGCCTCCGTGTCGCTGAGGCTGGGTCTGAGAGTAACTAACGCGCTCCCGGGAAGAACACAGAGGCGCGATGCATCATCACCTACTGTGGATGCTTCAGTGGTAGGAAGAAGGATCCGAGGCAAGGGCACGCCATGTAGGTATCGTTGCTGCATCGCGCCGCCTTGCTTGCGTTCGCACACATATCTACCCCGTCCTCAAGCCAAACCCTGACGGGCTAACCATCACAAGGAGTTAAGGCTGGCAGCGGAGTGCCTGCTGTCGGAGATTTTGTGCAGCTGCTAAGGCTCAAGCCCATGACAAACCAAGAGCCATCTGCAAGTGAGATCACCTTGGGGTTGGCTAGAACTTGACTTTAGGACGTGGCAGGCCTTGAACAAGTTGAGCTACGAGAATGACTGCTCTGTTCCTTAAACTGGACGACAAACCTCAGCACGCCTTTACAAGCTCAGGGACCAGGTCGACAAAACCCCCCAGCCCAGAACGGGCAAGGCTGCATCATGGCGGAATTGGCAATCGACTCAGGAAAGCTCCCACTTCAGCTTTTCGTCGCCCTTGTCCTTGGAAAAGCAACACAACCAAGCAAGGAAAGGATGCTCAGCGGTTCACGGCACAGATAGACAACAATGGACATGTGGACGGCCTGAATGACGAAATCTCTGGTTGCACCGAAGCTGACCTCGGCTAGGTGCCGGGTTCTACAAAACGGTGCAGCCAGCCAAAAATGCTTCTCCTCCCTGCGGTGTGGACGATAATATCAAGGAGTGTTCAACGAAATAAAGGCTATCCCAGTTCAGGTCCACGGCACACAACGCTACAGCTTGTCCTGCTGCAGTGCAGGCCAAGCGGCCGAAACAATGGGAGAGTCTCTGTCCAAGTCCGGCTCGTTGTCAGCATGCATACCGAGCCTTCGCGCAGCGTGCGTTTTTGGTGACTCGCTTTGCACAAACCTTCGGGTCTCAGCTACGCCGAAAACAAGCACGGACGTAAGGCTTCAGGGGTTTGCCAACATGCTGAATTAGGGGTTTGTCGTCCGAAGTCTCCAACCATTTTGCGAACTCTCAAAGTGCGCGACGTATGGCGAGGAAAGTCGTAGCGGTTCATCTGCGCCGAGTTGAACACCACCTGCCCAAAATGTCCGCTTCGGAAGCGAATTTGGGACCAGCATTCGCAACTCGACATATTCCCACATGCCGAGGCCTGAGGCAGACCGCACTCTGCCAGGCCCTCCTCTGCCTCCGAGGTCTTAGGTTTCTGGTCGGTTGCCAGGTTGGGCTGCTGTGCTTTCGGACAGGTGGTGCTCCTGAGACCTGCTGACTTTCTACAGTGGAGTGGCTGTTTGATGCGATGTGCAGTAAGCCGCACAACAGTGCCATCATGGCATCCCATGCACAGCAACAGGAGATGTGGGGAGCACATCAATCGCTCTGCACTGCTCAGGTCTCCGACTCCGAGCACTGCGATGAGGAAACCAATGCACCCAGGAACCCTCGGCTGCAGAGGTTCGAAGCTAAAGAGTTAGATCTCGCCTTCTTCTTGATCTCCAGGACTGCAGGATGCCATTGCTGTCCGACGTTCTCACGGCCCGAGTACTCGTAGCAAATGCCTTCCACAGCGTGTGCTTGACGATGCGTGTTCCCCACTGCTTACCCTTCTTGGTTTTGCTGGTAAAACAATTTAGTGTCAAGCGACCTTGTTGTCTAGAAGGTTCCTTCCGGTGAGCGGACCTCTGGAACGCAGGTCTGTCCTGGGCTAAATTGACTTACAAGAGAGACCCTTACAATCAAATCAGCAGCACAAGAAGCCCCAACTCGAATCTCCTTTAGCAACCGAGCCTGGGTCCGACATGAAGAGAGTGCGGCGTGGCTCATCCCCCGTCACTCGGTCGCCGCTATCTTGGCCTGACAGTAGTGGTGGTTTGAACCTTTGGAGTGTGTTGAGAGCTTCAAGTTGAAACTGGCTGGTGCGAGAGACGCTAGGGTCGGGTGTCTGTTGCTTAGTGGCAGTGTGGCTCAGAGTCAAACGGACCTCATTCGAAACCCCATTGGGTTGCGGGACGTACTGCTTGGGATGTGTCATGAGACATGTTCCATGGTCCATGGTGCATTCATACGAAGGCACTTGCAGTGTTCATGGATCGTCCATGGTATCTAGAAAAACCTGGACTTTGAGCACCAATCTGAGGTCCCCACTTGTCACGGTGATCTGTTGATGTCGCCAGTCTATCTCGTTGGTGAGGACCTCGCCAGTACGTCTTACAACTGTTCGATTGGTCGATCGAGGCATGGCAGGTCCATCCCCTTGTCTAACTGGCCGTGAACCTCGAACTTGCTAGCTCGTCGGATTTCTGGGCCGATCCTTGAAGTATCTCTCGCACTCCTCCACTGTGAAATAGTTTTCGAGCCTCAGCACAGCGCAGGAGGCCATGCTCCGTGTGACAAACTGCCTGTGTCCGATGATACCCGATGTGCAGAAAGACCAAAAGCGTGTCCTTCATCCCGAGGGCGAAAACACCAAAGACCGGCCAAAGCTTCAGGTATACGCATAAGATACCAACGTACATTTACGAGAAGTACTGTACAAATCGAAGTGAAGGATTTTGAATGATCACGTGGAGGACAGAACGTCAAACAACCACACAAGATGAGAGTCGTGGAGACATCTCCGGGCCTGTCCGCCTGCCCCTCCTTTCTTGAACACTGGACAAGGCTCTGTGACGACCATTGCATCCCTCTGGTCTCAAAACAGTTCAAGATCTCTACATCTGGTTAAAGGCCATGCAAGCTATACAAAAAAACCAGGCGCGGGACAGGACGGCAACAGCCCCCGGTAATTCCAGGTCTCGGTGGCGGACTTGGAGTACCGGTGGAGCCTCTGCAACGGTGGGGAGCAGAAGGTCCAATGCCGGTTTTGGGGTTGAGGGTTTGGGTTCGGTGATTCGTGAAGAGATGTGTGGGGCAACGAACTTTCCAAGAGCGATGCAACCTCAACAGCTGCATAGCACAACACCCGAAGCATCCCAACCCTGCATAGACCAGAAGTTGCGCAGGAAACAGTGCCTGTTCGACTTTCTTCTCTTTCCTGCGCAGATGCAGTTTCCGGGTTTGGCGAAGCTGTCGAGATCTATCCATCGCCCGTGCCTGTGCAGAATAGAAGGAAGAAGCTTCTGTATCGTGAGCATGTGCGATTACCTTTCCGGCCTGGAACATGGCGGCTTGTCTACATTCTGACCCTCGGGTTCCGTACATGATAAGGAACGCGCAGCCCTTTGCGAAAGTTGAACAATGCCCTAGAGTGGAGGCCAGCGTCCTACCCCACCGTGACTTCTTCTCTGCCATGGCGCGAGAAACTCCACCCGAGGTGGCGTGGAGATGGCTTCGGGCTTCTTTGGTCTTCGGGCTTTGGGTAAGGCTGGATCCCTGACCAAACTGAGTGGGAATCGTGTCTTGCTGGCGCCTGCTCTTTGAAGACTGGGTTTTAGGTACAAGCTCAAGTTCAAGTCTTCCAAGTGTGACATTGGGCCTGGTATTCAGTATGTGCATTGTTTCTGAGCTTTTGCTTCCGCATACCCCTGCCTTCGTCATGCGGCCGCGGGATTCCAAATGGCGTTTCGAACGGGACGATCAGTTCTACAGGCCCTCACCAGAGTCCTCCAACGTGACCTACAAAGGAAGAGGTCCGATGATGCACGCACACACGCACGCATATCTCAGTCTAAGCCCACAACTCGCACTGGGCAACGGTCCTATCAACCAAGGACTTGGGCACGGGTCTTGCACTGCTGATGTAACGTCAGGCTGGAAAGCTGGTCGCACTTACTCTAAAGACCTATCAGCACTACGAGCATTAATCTGACAGAACCAGTCATGTATGCTGTAATGCAGCCGAACTTGCAACGAATGCGTCTAACCCAACTTCCCAGTTAGAAATTATGGAACCACCACCTGTGCAGTTTTTGCGACCGCAGCATCTGCCGGCAGCATCTCGTTAACACGTGGTGCGGCCTCGGGTTCATCAAACAGAACAAAGAACCGCAACCACCCCAAACCCACGGTGACAGGTCAGCCACCGTGACACGCGCTGTTGTGAAGCTCTATCGCTCTATCGCAACGCTGACCGACACGAGCAACACGAGCATGAAGCAAGTTCTCGGCAAGCAGCAGCAGCCTGGCTAGTTGCAGTGCCTCATCCCATGGATCCGTGATCCGTGAAGCAAAAACATCACTGCGACCTCGAAGTCTGAAGCCAGTCTGCTCATCAGCCCAAGCGCTGAACTTCTGTTAGCGAGGCACCCAACATAGACACCCCAAGACTCACTTTCGTCCCAAACTACTGGAATCTTGCAGAACCCCCGCCTGAGCCCAGAGCCAAGAGCCACGAAGGCTCAAAGGGCCGCAGACAGAAAGTCACGGCCTTGACATCGGGATCTTTCGCCTTCGGGATGCATGCGCAGAGATGATGGGGAAAGCAGGTGGCTTTGTGCTGTGTCTGCAACAGTTCAACCGGTGTTCGAACGCAGCGCAAGCACTGGGATAGGACAGTTGCAGTGTAGATGCTGATCCGCTGGTTCAGTTCTACGCAAGCCGACTGCAACTGTAGGGCTTGCAGGATGCGGATGATCTGCATTTGCTTTCGAAGTCTGTGCCCTCCAATTTAACTTTCTTGACGCACCAAAACACCTGAAGTGCTTGCAAGGCCTGGTTACACGGCCGGTTGAACTGTTGAACTGGCCGAAATCAGCGGTGTGTGTGTGTGTCACTTCAAAATCTGAGCTTCGTAGGGGCAACAACCCCAAACACCGACCTCAAACTCTGTGAGCCTGCTTCGTGGGCTCTGCCTTTCCACCGTCTTGGACAAGCCTGGACAGCCCGGAAAACGCCAACAGTTTATCTGAATCTTGCACTCTGCAAGTTTGAGGCCTAAAGTCCTGTCAAGCCTTTGGTGTACAGCGCTTTCATGAATTGCTGCTTAGTTGTGGGGCCTATGTTGTCATTGTCGCACTTCTGGTCGCAAGTAAACGAAATGGAGCAGCGACAGTACACCAAGGCCAGCCTCGAAAACTCTAGAACTCTCACCACACAGAGTTCTAGTTCAGGAGTAAACCTTCAAAACCCTTTGCAAAGACTTTGCTCTCCTCCGTTTAGGGCTTTGCTGTAAGACCAAATTCTGCGCAGTCTCTGCAACCATTTAATCACCCCAGCTCCTCCTCCCCTGCCGGCAGGAAGAGTGCCACCACATCTGGTGAGACCTCGCTTTGCAGACACGAGCAAAGACATTCCACAGATCTAGGTTGGGACAAGGGCGAGGTTTTGACGGTGGCAGTGGAGCCCCTTTGCTGGAAGCGGAAGCATGATTCCTTGACGATTCTATCAGGCAGGGGAGTCTGGGTAGTCCAGGAATGGGCAAAGTTGGTCAAGGCTCAGAGAAAGCTTTCCACAGCAGCATGCCAGCGAAGATGCACGCCGCCAAGGGAGGTTTCTGAGGCCGAGTCCATACTGTCCTCCTCCGGAACACCAGCGATCTTTTTCTTCAAGACCTGCAGTCCGTGACAGCACCACATCCTAGAATTGTTGCGAAACTAAAAGTTGAGTGCAAAGTTCCTACACAAAGCTGAAACTTCATAATCCCAGCAACCCGAGAAGGGTGCCTCGAGAAGAACGCAGTATGGCTGCCTCAGCTTGCTTCGTCTGATGCGGCGTCAGGCACTAAGGGTCAGGCACTCTCTTTAACTCTCTAACAGTCATGCCACAGGACAACCTTCCCACACGGATTCACTAAATGCACCTTTTCATCTCAAAAAGAAGCTGCAATCCGAACCGGTTTGTCTTCTTTATCTTCACTGCACCACAATTTTCAGCACATGTACCCCTGTTCCGTCTCAAACTCTGTCAGTTTAGCACCTGCAGCCTAAAGCTGTTAGTCCGCTTCACACCCGAACGTGCACTCCTACAGTGCTTGATTCATCAAGACCCTGGAGGGAAACCCAAACCAAGAAAGCCAGGGATAGCTAGACCGCTCTAGTCCACTATCCCCCCCTCAAAGCCCTCAAGGTCTGCACTTTAAACCTGCACTCGCGAAACTTGAAGACACCTGATTGATGCCAAGGTGCGGGGAACAGGGAGGGAAGGCCACAAGACCCTCTCCGATAATGCCCGCGTTCCGCTTCTGCACAGCGGGGTTCAGAGTTCAGTGTTGTAGAGCTTCAGGGCTCAACCCGGCGAAAGACCGCGATTATACCCCAGCTGTTCTCAAACCTGCGCAATCCTGCCCTTGCCGCCTTCGCGTACTTGCGTATTCTTCCCTCCGTGCCAAAGATGTTCAAGCCCAGACTTGGTCGAAGCTTTCGGGGGCTGGACCACTTAAATGCGACATCACGCAGGAGATGACGACGCTTGATGATTTGGGGGCTACAGGCATCGTGTTATGTGGCCACGAGCTCGTGGATGGTGGATCAGAAGCCCGGTGGGATCGAAACGAGCACATGCGACTGACCAAGACGAGGTGGTTTGGGAAGACTGGAGATTTCGTTGTCGTTGCTCGCATCGTGAGACGTTGTCCGGCAGCGTCTTCGTCTCATCCGCCGACTTACCAGGCTTTTCAGATGCGATCTCTCGCAAGAAAAAAGTCTCCGCTTGAGGGATGGAGTACCTTCTAGATGCTTCTCAAATATCTAGAACACTTGACCGTATCTCAAGCTCTGCAGCGCTGTTGGTGCATAAGGCTGCCACATGTTTCCAAATCGAAGGGCTGCCTCTGGTGAGATGTAGGATCCTCGCAAGTTTTTGCAGGTATGGAGCTCGGAAACACTCACACATCGCAGCAGAAATCCGCAGACTGTTGCTCGGCTCTTTTACTCGGCTTCTTCGACAGCCTTTGGTCGAACGCATTTCTCAAACTGATGTAGTCCATCCACCTGCATGAGCCGCAAACCTTGAGTCTAATGGAACATGTTCACTCTAGGCCGAGACCCCGGAAGCCCCAGTCCATGCACCGTACCGACCAACCCCCTGTGGCCCATGGCACTGAAGTGAGCCTCACTCTGGCAAGCTCCACGGGACGGAGGTCTTTATTGCGGCAAAGAACTTTGGCAGTGGATGGATGCCAGGCAGCTCAAACTGCAGAGGAACTTCTGTTCAAGCTTAGGCGAGGACCTTTGATCCGCCAGGCCAATGCATCGAATTCGTTGACCCTTTCCGTCAGCACCCCTCCACCTTCATTGGGTCAGAGGCTCATATGTACCAGAGCGAAACAGCTATCAGCAAGTAGGCGCCAATCCTCAGCCGCACAATGATGCCTGTAGCTCAATCAAGGCCCTACCGAAGCCCCAGCTGCAACGCTTCACAACCCAACAAGGAGCCAAGGCACAAAGCCGCTCCTTCCAGCCAGTTCGACTCTCCGTCGCTGATCGTACTCCCGACAATCCTTGACATTGGGATTCGGATGGAGCTGGGATCTAAGTAATCAGGAGGAGAGTGTTCGATGTCATGCCTGTGCTCAGGCCAGACTCCTCGCAAGACCGCGAAAGCAGTGCGGATAGCTCCGGGCTCGGGGTGCAACATGCTAAGTTACTATTTACTAGTGATCCGAATGCGCATGCTCCGAGGCAATAGCACCCCCTGACTCTTCAGGCCTACCGAGCGGGCCACAGCCCTTGAAATAAGATGGAAGCTGGAGTCTCAAGTTGAAGCTCCCCAAAGTCCAAAGTGACAATCGGATCTTCTAACATGCTTCTACACTTGTCTCAACATGTCTCAACCGAGAAGCAACACTGTCAGCAGGAGGATGGACACATCCAGCCTCAGATGAAGCTGCCACTGCCACCCTTGAAAGCTTCAGATTCTACAGCACAGCCAGATTGTGCCCTGTCTCGAATCCTGAATGCTCCAACCCCCGCCCCCCCCCCTCCCCCACTCTCTCTCAATGCCTCCTTACACAATGAGGCTCTTGCGACTTGAAGTTTAGATCCATGGGGACGTCCATGAACCATCCAACAATCACCTCTGTGCCGGGATATGCCGCTGCGAGTTGAGTATGTGCTGTAGAGGCTGAAGTTCAGGTAGTAGGGATGCAGGATGAATGGTTCGGAGCTGTAGTTCTTGTGCAATGCACTCACCTGAAATTCTCACGTCATTGAATCATTCAAGATTACACAGACATCGATTTGCGGGCATCAGAGCACATCAGCAACTGTGAGAAATAGGCTGTTTCTCAGCTCGAGCGGCCGTAAATGGCACCACGAAGAGAGCCTCGTTCGGGTCGGCAGGTTTGGACAGCACTACGTACTACGTAACAGCACTGCATGTGTGATTCCTTGCGGATTTGCCCGCTTCATCGCTAATTCTAAAGCACTAGCCATTGTCTTGTGACCACGTGTCCAGCCTGCCCATGTAAACATGTTCATTCATATCTGCTTGCTCGTCAGCTGCTTACAGATGCTTACAGTTTTGCACACAAAGCATCTGACCACGCGAAACAGTCACCATTGGGCCGAAAGGCAATCTGCGTGCTACTTCCCAGGGCCACGCCCAAAGAGAGGTCCATCTTGTCCTAGGAGCGCAACACCATTCGCGAAGAATAGGGGCTCTTGCTGCAACAGTGACTGCGAGCGTATCGAGTCCACAAGCCCCAAGATCACTCTCCAGTAGATTCATGTGTCTTTGGTGGCCACAGTCACAGCAGTGAGGTGCTCTGCCGCGTTGCCAACCTGGGTTGTGATGTGGTTCTGAGCTTGCCACAGCCACTGTGCCAAAAAACTGTTTCCTTGTTGTCGAAGTCTACCTGAGAACAGCCTGGACGTCCTGCAATACTCGCTGGCCGTCGGATGATCCACGCATCCAAGCCACAATGGGCAGCAGGATCACTCCAACGAAAGCATCCGAAAGCTGCAGCGTCTTCGTCACACCCTCCACGGAGCCTGTGTGAGTTGGAACTTCCAGCAAAACAAGTGTACGACTAATCATGCTGCCACAAACTGGTTCGGTCGCTTCAATCCTAAATATTGAAAGCAATCCGGCCTGTCAGGCCTTCGGAAAGAGGAGCCACAATCAGTGTGGCGATTAACCTGAGCGGAAAATATCTTTCTGATGGCCCGTTCGGATGTTTTGGGGATGTGGGAGTGTGCGGATTGAAGTCACGCCGTCTTAACTTGGACAGGCTCATTGATGTCAGGATCCCAGGCGCAGAAGAGCAAGAGAGGCGCCCTTGGACAGCATCGGCTGCTCCTAGCCAACTAGGGAGGAATGGGACTTTCGAGATGTCACCGTCAACGTGACCTCCTGAACACCCTCCGAATTGTAAGTCATCTATGATGTGGGTCGGTTCGTGAGGAGACCAGAAAGAGGACGGGCCAAATGCGGAGGACAACATCTGCCGTGCTACGTATGCTGCTCATCTCCCCAGACCACGGCTTAGTAGCAGGGACTCAGAATGGTCTTGTGCTACACGGCCTCGAAAACACGAAAGGCGTGAGTTGCAAACAACCAGACGATGCCCTGACTGGAAAGCGGAGCAGGCGATGCTTTGGCTTCATGTCTGAAGCCATTTTGACCCAAGATAACTGCGCCATTTAACCAGCCTGCTATTATTTCAGCAAGGTCTGGAAACTGCAAAATTTGCGATTACATGAAGGCACATAGGGCTTGGCGCAGGAACTTGGGGTTTGGGATGTTTCGGATTTGGGATGACTGGTCGACTTGGTATTGGCTGAAGAAGAATGCATCTTCCGCCGCGCAGCAAAGAACTATGGGATGAAACCATGCTCGGCCGCCGCGCAACAAGGTGAACCATAACACACTATATCAACAACACCTGCAACGGCGCAAACTGTGCCGGTATTGGAAACCTACAAGCGGGAGCCACATCGTGCTCAAGCCAGGCGAAAAGTCCACTCCTGAGCGGCGTGCAACTTGGTAGGGGAGCAGTCAAGCAATGTACGCAAATGTCCAGACCACAAAGCACATGAAGGAAGCGACAAGTGCGACCTTGACAAGCGATCTCTGCTTCAGCCACGGGATCACCCACCTGCAAATCCGCAGCACCAATAAGCCGAGCAGTATCCGCAGTACTTGCACGAAACATCTCCAACGTGTGAGGGCAGCACCGATGCCCCCGGGCCCCCTCCACCACACGTCCCTCATCCATGTTGCCTGATTGCACATTCAAGGTGCTGTCATCCCAACCGCAATATAGGTTACGGCGGTTACGGTTCGTAACGGCAACACTGCTTGCTCAACATCTTCGAACGCTCTTGTCAGTAACGTGGCGCGAACTTCTGAATTGAACCTGTCGAGGGGTTCCTCGGACCCCGCATGGGTTCCTGCTCTCTCGCGGGAATACCAAGCTTTGACTGTGTCAAAAACCAGTTCCCGATCACACTCCAAAGCAGCACCAGTTTCCGTAAATGATTGGAAGAGCAACAAAAACACTGGGAGTGCTGAATGTCGAACTCTGAGAGAAAGGCAGGAAGGTCTTCAAGAATTTGTACACCTACAAAACCAGATAGATCATGTTGGGGAGCCCGACCGCACACAACAAGCACCAAAGTGACAGCTGAAGAGCAAGAACTGCCGGCGCTTGATCGATGAGAAATGTGAAAGGGTGCCATGGCGGCTTGTGATGCAGCGTCACTCGTGGCAGCTGCGATTCGCGCCGCCTGCGATGCTCGTGCGCCCAGAAGGACTGTTGCTGCGGTTGCTGCCGCGGCAGTGTCAGCTGTGTTTCGACCAGCGGGCACTGCAGTGGCAAACCAGCGGCGTCAGTCCCAGGTGCCTGAGCCCGTCTCCGTCGGTGATGAGGAAGGAGCACGGCGCGAGGCCATGGGCCAAGCGTCGTCGCAAGCGCAAACATTTGAGAGCAGCCAAGGCAGCGGCTGCTTCTAACGTGGACACGGCGGCGCTGACAGACATTACGCACGCTGGTGCGGCAGGGGACGCTGCGCCATCTGCGGGTGAGGTCACGACCCCCAGAAGGAGCACTGCGCCAGACAGTTTCGAGAAGGGCCATACAGGACTTACGCCCCCGTGCAAGAGACACTGTGGTGACCCGCCTGAGGCTGCGGGCGAAGTGGACGCCGTTTGAACGAGATCAGTGTTGTTAGCGGTGCCACAGACTGGACGGTCTACTGCGGGCAGGAATAGCCAGTACGGCCGGGCTGAGTTCGAGAACAAGGATGACAAGCAGTTGCCGGCGGGGAGTGCTCCGCTTCTCGTCAACCCTTACAGTGAGGCGCGCTTGAGTAGCTTGGCTCAGGCTGCATGTTTGCGCCGGCCGCCATAGGTGTGCTGGCAGGCGAATTCGTTTGGGAGGCGATTGGGCTTCGCTCTCGGCCTCTGTCATGTTGGGAGGTCCGCAAAGCGGCACCTTTGGGGGGCGGAGAGCAACCTCTAAAGCCGTCAGCGTGACTTCCCTTCCGTGGCTCCGAGTTCCGGTCACTAGCCAACCTTCGCACCAGTCCTCTTCGGCAGGCTCCTCCTCGTTAGCCTCTGAGCCGAATTGCTCCTCTCGCTGGCTGTCATATGTTCAGGCAATTCTGGGAAAGTCGCAGCACTGTGCAAACCAGGGGGATCTAGTCAAGCTTCTTTGTCGGGTATTACACACACAACACACGCGCGCACACACACACACACACTTAAGATCTAACTCATTGGTGCCATGGAACCAGCCGGTCTGTATCAATGTAGATGAGACAGATTACCTCTCCCTCATGTTCTCCCTGAACGGTTTGAGGCCCTTGTTTACGTTTTGAGAGAGAAGAAAAGGCACACTCCTTGTGGGTGTAGAGCTGGAAGACCAAGTAGCAAATGTACAGCACGGCTAGAACAATTGCCTGTTCGACACAGTGGGACTCTCTGTGTCTAGCTTGGCTCGAAGTGCTGGCCAGCCCTCCTGACTTTCAGCCGCACGTAGTATCCAAAAGCAAATCCGAAATAGCTTCAGCTGAAGCCATTGTTCATCAGATGCTTGCGAGCCCCCGCCCAACCTCAAAATCGCTAATGAACACAACAACAAGTCTCTGAGCCTTCGGCCCAAAAGCAAAAAAAAGACTCTCCAGGCAGATGTGACGATTGCTGCACCCGGGATGCGCAACCCCGGGAGATGAGCAGCTCGCTGTCTGGGCGAGCCCCGGTCAGGAGCACCACCGTGGGAATCACCTGGACGGCTGCTCACGGGAAAGGCAGGGTCATGTATTGAAAACGCTTGCGGGCCATGAGCCCGAAAGCCCAGAACCCAAGTTACAAGCCCCAAGAGGTAAATCTGGAGCCCATGAAAGCCAACTTCGTGCCCCGAGACAAGAGCTAGGACCGCCAGAAGGAGGAGGGAGTACTGAGCGCGGGCACCTGTTGGACCTGAGCTCGAATGGTCTTCGGATTCCTGTACGGGGGGCTCGATTTGAGCTGAAGCTTTGCAGGCTTTGGGCCAGCCGTGTGCACCGTCTTCACTCACCACCGTGCACTGCCATGCACGACGAACTCCTCAACGCCATGAAACTTCTTGTGCATCCTTGCCTCGAAAACCTACAACCTGCCAGCAAGCCTGAATTATTCCACCTCTCGCGCTAACGGGGCAGCTCGAGCCGAGCAGCTAAAGCGCTGCGTGTTGTACTTTAGGCCGCCACAGAAGAAGCACATGCCTCAGAATGCTGAGTGTGCCGGGCTCGAGGAACGTTTATGGTTAGAATCTTTTGCTATTGGCTGGGAAGTGTATAGATTGCTGAACCTGATGTCAGTACGTCCGCATCCTTCCAGTAAAAGCTCCATGCCAACTCCTCCAAGACGGGTTCTGGCTTGCGGAGTTTGCCTTAGGGCTGATAGTAGCATCTCCACCACCCGAATGCCTAGCGATCGTCAACCTGGGATGACTGCGCTTCTCGTACCAAAAGTTCGGCACAGTGCTTCAGCGAACGCTCCAATACGTTATTGTCTCATATGCCAGAGACCACTCCGGTACAGCAAGTATGCGTTCGTGGCTACTGCAGTCCATGCAGTTCATCATCCCTGACAGGACAGCCGGGGCGCCCAGCACCAGCAGCAAGTTCGAAACGATACTCCCGACCAAGCTCCCCTTGACCACCTCGATCAGTATCTGGGTTTCGGGCTTCGGCACTAGCTAGTAAACACGGGCTCAGAATCGAGTATTCTGGACACTGAGGCAAGAGATAACAAGAGGGTTTATGAGAGATCTTGGAGCACACGCGAAACAAACTCGCCATGTGCGGCTTTGACATGTCGGTTCCTTAGAACGGGAATTGAAGGTGGCTGTACCTCCCTTCGCTTTGTACAGTCGACCAACTTTGATCTGGTCAACAGGATTCAAAACATGCTGTGATTCGCACAAAGTTTCCAAAACTGTTACGACATGCTGCTCCAGTCTGCCTCTCGCCGTTAGTCCAACAAGCCTACTCCTCCAACAACTGCCTTTTCCCGGATCTCCCCATCTCACGAGTCTGCCTCCGTCAAGCCCTCCCGCAAAGCGAAGATGGCCTGAGCTACTTCGACCAATGCCATGTTTCTTAGTAACAGCGCCGGCCTGCGACTGAGAGCTGAGAGGCTTCGAGCCGAACTGGACTTGGGGAGGACCGCAGGTCGTTGTCTGGAGCCCTTCCCGTCCAAAGGTGCCAGAGCAAGACACAACAGACTTGCCACGACAGAAGTATGGCACATGCAGCTGCTGCACCGATGAATGATAACTCTACACTCTACACCAACGAATCTAAGCCGTCAGAACCTAATTTTCGTAATCTGAAAGCTCTCAAACAGGCTGAAAGCGCTTTCCACCGATCTGTTTAGAGAGGCTTGAAGAGTGCTTGAAGCCCCCGTGGTCCTCCAAATTGGATTGGCGAAAACTTGGGCCGTTGGCGCTTTAGGGTTTTCAGACACGCGTCGATGATCATCTCCACAGCATTTCCAAACGTGGCATTGAGGAGGCCTGCGCATGCGTGAAGGGATTCCGAGAACGCCGGAGAATCCCCAGCATCCCTCGCTCTCGCCGCAGTCCACAAGACCCAACCACCCATGTGTCTACCTGGGCCGGCCTGCTTACCCGTAATGCCCATCACAGCAGCCCAAGCCTAAAGCCCGCAAACAGAGGAACTACCGGCTAACCGGCTGCCATCAGTAGGTACAAACAGAATAACAAACATGAACAACACCGACGCAAAGGACGACGACGAGAACAATGACATGATGCAAACACGAGTCAGCGACGAAGCGCACGAGACCAACAGAGCAACAAGAGCAAGGACGCCACCGCCAGGGCTGCTGTGGCCGTACCTCCCAGGGTCTGCCCGACGGAAAGCGCGAGCTGCTCTGTTGCTTCTCCGAGCCTTGGCCAGAAAACTATGCTAATTCCTATTCCGTGTCGATAATATGCCATTCTTTGTTCATGCTGTTGGGTGTTGTTGTTGCTGTGATTGGTAGCAGTCGTAGGGATGATCGTGGCAGTCATAACGAGCAGAAGAAGCCGTAGGCAGTCCTGCAACTGCAACCTGCAACCTGCAACCGCTACTGCTACTGCTACTGCTATGCTGCTCTGCTACTGCTGCTGGTCAACTGCTACTGTTACTGCTCCTGCAACTGCAACTGCTACTGCTGCTACTACTACTACTACTACGACTACTACTACTACTACTACTACTACTACTACTACTACTACTAAGGGTTTCGGCTGGAGCGGAGTGAGCGGTCAGTTAGAGCCGAGTCTGCGCAGGGTTCATGGCACGGCGAGCGCTATCCTGTATCGGCTTACTTATAGCAATGACAACGACCGGCTCAGGGGGATTTATCCAGCTGCAGGGGTCCCGATTCCCCTGGCCAGCCCAGCACAGTGTACAATCGCAATGCTGCATGCGATGTGTCCTCCACAAAAGGGTGCCGAATCCCAAACCCAAGCAATTACTCGCTCTTCAGCATGGGCGCAGCTTTGCCAAGGGGACGATGGCCAGAAAGCCTGGGTAACAAACCACCGAGGACTACACCCGGTCTCCCATCCAGCAGCAACAATCCAGAAGGCGAACATGTGCGGATCGGAACAAGCCCGTTTTGCTACTGTGGGGCTGACCTGGCAGACCGAACTGCAACATCCTGGAAACCGCTTGTAGAGGTCAGTTCCCGCTCCACAAACTGTCGACATTCATGAATATGATAGGTTCGAATGAAGTGTATGTTCTCCTCACACCTGAAGTTGTCTGAGGCTCCGAACTCCTGCCCAAAGAACCCTTACAAGCGTGACAAAGCTTCCGGTTCCCTGACTGATGCTTCCACATAAGATCGCCCGGGCTCAAGGCGTGGAGTTCAAAGCTCTAGAAACTCTATGGCAGCAACCTCCACACCCTACTGAAATCCAATCCTAAACGCCAAGACCCAAAAAACGATTCGTCTGGCAGCTCAGCAGAAACGTGGCCACTTCGCCCCAGCCCAAAGTCTCCGAGGCAAGGCCAAGGGGGGCGAAGATCAGCATCAACTGGGAGGGGGCTTGTTCTGAAAGCTCTGCTTCTGTATTTACCAATGGAAACTGGGGCACAAGCGGCTTAGTGCTACTTGGCGAGTTGTCACAAAGTCAGCTCTGGTTTCTCGGATGATTTTGCAGAATCCAAGGTTCAGTCGTACTACAGATCGCGAATACAACACTTTGAGGTGCAAGCAATCGGGTCCTTGGGATGTATGGAATGGACAGATGTTGAATTGTCTGGGTGATTAACGCGCAGCTTCGGCGATGGCTGAGAAGGACCTGGCAAAGCATTGGGAAGGGGGAACCCTGAAATGGCGCTGAGAAAGCTCCAGGCGTGCCGGTGGAGAAATCTTTCAAAGAAGACTGAGTAAGGAAGGTTTCAAGGCGTTCTCATGTGCTCATGTAAGTGCGGATAAGCCTTGCTCACAATAGGTGAGTGTATCCTGCGATGGGTCGAAGTCGGAGATGCGGAGATGTAGGGCATGTAGGGTGCGAATCCCTTCAGCAACCGGCAAAAGCTCGACACATTTCACGACTTTCTTGCGGAGGCAATGACACATTACTACAGGCGAAGTGCCAAAGCCCGTGCCTCTCAACGCCAAACCAGTTGTGGTCTCTTGCAAGACGAGACGCATTCAACGGCGAGCCCAGGATGATTTCTTTCAGGCCGGACAGGTCCTGCTTCGTGCTAACCGTCTGTGGTGGTAACAGGACTTGGGCGGTTCAGGTCTAGTGGAGGTTTCCCAGAAAGGAGCTTGCCCCACTGACCTTCCAAAACCACGGAAATGCACTGCAGAGCACTGCTTGCTTAAAGAAAGCCGTGAACCGAGAACTAAGAAATGTCTTCCAGTGATCCTCTGAAGCTCGATGCCAGATGGCGGAACTATACGGATGAGCCTCAGACACTTCTAGTACTAGCCTTCTTATCGCCGAGTTTGCCACTATTGGCTGCACTGTGGTCTGCAGTCTGCCAACATGGCTGCTGATTTGTATCTCTGCTGTCTCTGGCTACATATCAAGCTTGTTGTGGCAATGCTTCGAGCAGGGTCTGATAGGTGCAGCCCAGCCCCAGAAGACCAAGAAAGGGATGCTACATGGGCAAACCGATGCCGCTTAGCAAACATGTTTAGGGACCGGCGCCTACACGATTGCCACCTGCTTGTAAAAAGGCTGGGCGCTATTTGCCTTTTTACACTGATGCCCAGCAAACTGAAGCCTTGTCGAAGTTGAACCACTCCTGCACAGCAAAGACCACTGGGAGTGCAGTAGCCGCAAGTCAGCTACCGGCTACCAGGTACCTGCTGATGCTACCTGCTACATCCTGCTACCTGCTACCTGCTACTGCTACAACAGTACTACTACTGCGACGACAACGCCGCTGCGGACGATCACGACGGCGACTACGACCGACGACGGCCACCGACGACCGACGACAGCAACCGCGACCGCGACCGCGTCTGCCACTGCCATTACCACTACCACCACGACTGCCTGCCGCCGGTACCATCATCACGTCGTCATACCCATATCATCATCATCATCATCANNCATCATGATCAGCAGCAGCAGCATCACCGTTGTCATCGTCATCATCGTTGTCGTCACCGTGCTTTTCGGCGGCATCATCGTGAGAGTCACAGGCATCAGTCAGAGTCTGCTTGTCTGTGACTTGCAATACATCTTGTGAAACACATGTTGCGCTGCATAGTACACTCGCAACCCCTGTCCCTGATTTCTAGCAATCGTGGCACAAGACCCTTGCCCTGCTCGCGGTTGGAGAATCTGATGCTCTTTGTTGAGCTTTTGCTGCTTGGTGAAGATTGAAGTCAAGTCTTGTTGTTGCTCACGGCTGTCTCAAAAGCTTGGCCTCGTTGCACCATTTGAATCTGGTGGGGTTTTGAATTGCCACTCCTGGGTTCGTTTTTGTGACCCTCATGTTCCATCCGACGAATTAGGAAATTGAAGTTAATTGAGAAGCTTTCTCTGCCTTCAACCGGATTCCACCTGGCTGCAGGCAAAGCCTGTTCAAATTTGCGCCTAAATGCTGGTAGCAGGTGTCACCGCAATACGAGTACTATCGACTACCACCCATCAACGCGTCAACCTACAACCCCCCCCCCCC